CTAGAATTATGAGAATTAGCCTAATAATGCGATATTATTTATTATCATAATTGAATACATCTTTACTTGCAATCCAAAGTCAAGAACAAATGGAAACGGATAAAACTAAATGTGAATTTTCAAAATGAACAGAGAATAGCGCTAGTTGCTAAATCTAGAATATAAGATTTAGAACTCAAAAATTAATGATGGTTCAGAAACATACCAGCATCAAGTATAAGTAGCGTAATCGATTGCAATGGCAATCATATCTTTGCCTCATTGATAATCCCTTTATAAATGCGAGTTGGAAGAAGCCTAACTTACATTGAACGTCCCAGCCGCCCTGTGACCAAGTGGTATCCCTGATTGCGTAAAGCAGCGTCAGCATTATGTCACGATGCTAATAAGCCGGTCTCGAATCGCGTGAGAGGTGTTTACGAGACCCAGGCGGGATCGGAACTACAGTATAGCCTGGGAGAGATCTTTAGAGGGGCAATGCTAAGTGAAAACAATACCACTTTAATACCTACTCACATCAGTGTGAAAACCTCCATTATCAATACTTAGATCAGCCTAAGGAACCTAAGGTGACTAAATTTTGAAAATTAAGCTGGAAATAATAGCATAAAGAGACACTAACCAAATGATGAATCGTCTATACTCATTAAAGTACGAATAGCAAGATATGTAAGAGTGGTCGTTAATTATGGAAGGAAACAACAATGATACAAGTATTCAGTTCATCAACAAGAAAGTATATACATATATATAAAAGAAAGAAATAAAAGCAATGTTCGTAGTAGGAAAGGGTCAAGGAAATTAATGAGTTCAGAAAATTTATAAATCAGAGGTGGAAGGAGAGGATCAGAGATAGATAGGACTGTCACAGGCCATGATACGGCAGATCTGGCAAAAGTAAAAACAGTGTAAGAATGGCATATGATAAAATAGCAAAGGCAAAAACGGAAGAAGAGGTAAGAGATCAGTTATTAATGCATTTATAGGATGAATAAGATATATGTACGCCAGAGTTAAATCTTAGGAACAAAACAATTTTTAAAATAGTAGTGATCTCCTGAATAAATAAATCTTACTTTGAATAGATTAAGGCCTTACCTACCTAGGCCTCTGAGCCATAATGAAATGGATAAATAAAATGAGATAAAGCAAAAGGCCTGACGATAGAGAATGGTGAAGAAATATTTTAATAAATACTCATAGTAGTATCAAAAGAAATAAGTAATTCCTTTAGATAAGATGCTGATAATGCAATTTACATTAACTTTAGTTGCAGAAGTACTTATCCATAGTAAACAAACAAATAGTTGAAATGAACAGGGAACAATATAAGTCTCTCAAATCCATGCTATCGTAAAATTGGGAAGAAATTTATGATTGCAAAATTGAGAATGTGCAAAAATAAAACTGACAATAAAAACCTACGAAAAGATTACTCTTAGATAAAAAAGGGTATGGTGGAATCAGATCAAATCCATTGGTGAGGTGACCTACCGTCTATAGAAAATGACCTGTCCATGCCATCGAGGTGATCTCCATTTTCTTTATCGTCCAGAACTGGTGGTGAGCGAGTATACAACTCTGAGTACCAGTGACCTAAACGCAAACAGCATCTGAGATTTGGTGAATAGAAGGCACGAAAGATAGATCATCTAATTTAAATTGAAAACTAATTATCATACATTAATCGAGAACATGGGTAGCTAGAAAAAAGTACATTGAGGGAGTTTCCATGATATTTTAAATT